GTTCCTGCCCCTTGTCATCCGCAGCCTTGACTTGTAAAATGTTGGCGTGCCAGTGGCACACAGTGGGGGAGCCACAAGGGGCTCTATCCTTGTTGTGGCAGCACAGCCCTGGCCCTTCCCCTGAAGACTGCCCTGAGGCGCACGTGCCAAGCAAAATGCCTTTGTGTGCTATGCTCTGGCACCCATGGAAGGGGTTGCCTACCTCAGGACATAACCCTCTTGCCATAAACCTCTGGATTTGGTCCCAGAAGGAGCATAGGCACACCCCAGTCAAAGTCCCTAGCCTCGGCTGTAGCCAACACCCAGTACCTCTGAGGAAGACTTAAAAACACCCTGGCACATATAGCAGAAAGGGGAAGGGTGGTGGTGGGGGCAACCAGCAAAGCCCGGAAGCATGAGAACATAGGCATAGCTATGCCTAGATCAGGGGTAGGCAAAATATGGATTTTAAACCACATTTCCAGACCCATTTCATTGTCACTTCCTGCAACTTCGTTGGTGTCAAAGGTCACATGACATCACATCCTGATGTTATACCACTTCCTGTGAGGTCTTTGAATATGGCTCGCCGGCCCACTGGGTGATAAAAAGTTCATGATCCGGCCCCACATTCAAAAAGGTTGGACACCCCTGATTTAATATATCTCCTTTTCCTTTTAACAGGCCATGTTTCTGTAGCAGCAAACCTGTGTACACTCATCTGGTGCTTTTTGCACCCCCTTAGGCTCTTGTATTTACTTATCTCGCCACTTATAATGTAGCCGTTAATCTGATGTCTGGATACAGCTTTTAAGTGGGGTTTCATCCCTGCTATTCCTCAAACACAGCAGCTCTGTTCTTTTAGGGTACTTAACATGAAGCAGGATGGCAGGCACACATAACATGCTGCCTGTAGCAAAGCACCTGTGTAGCCTTGTCTTTCCCCATCCCACCCACTGCTGCCTTATCTATGAGACTCTTTGATCAGTGATTAAGGGAAGGACTAATCCCTAGATTCTCCAATTCCCAGATTTGGCCCTCATTTTGAGCTGCCTGGATTGCAGCCCTGACCTCTCAAGATCAAGTCCAGGGGCTCGCACTCCACCTGGCTCATTCACAGTGTTGTCAGATACAAAATATTGAATTCAAGCCTTGGAGCCCATGTTGAGGTGGTAACTTTATATGGAACTTTTTCCAACAGCCATGAAGGCAATTTCTGTTATAAGCTTCTCACTTAGGATGTTTGATATCTTATTATCCTGCATTAAATTATAAGCATCGGATCAAGTAGAATAAGAAACTTTTTTCAGGTTTTGGGGAGCCCAGGCTTCTTGACATTTTTACTAAAATTCCCTGTAGATTTCAGCTTCTTGATTGTGCACTACCGTAAAATGGAAATGATTAAAAACTCTGGTCTCTTTCCTGGATGCCATGCCTCCAGGAAATGGAGCTAACACATGTTACACAGGCATTGTGGAAGAATGAAAAAGGCATTGTATTTCTTGGAACCAGATTGTTAATTGGCTCTGTTATATGCAAATTGGAAAACCCTGTAAGCTTATGCAAGACTCCTTGTTATCTACATCCAGCTGCAGATACAGGAAGCTTCAGAAAGTGAAGCTCTCTGCTCATTCTTATGAACACATGAATGAGGCAGGGCTTGCTGTGCCTTAACTGGGTTAGAATGCTACAACACAGTGAAGCCAAAAGGCTCTCAAAGATTTATCCCTCTCCCTCTCAACCAAAGATTGCAGGGGGAAGGGTAGGGGGAATGATGAAACCTTTGGGTAATTGGGACTTTACTATTCATCAGTTATTTGGGGGCAGGGAAAAATACATTAGTCTCTGTTTATACTTGAGTAGCGCACTAGGTTTATCTGAGGGCATCACTGAGACAAAAGACATTTCTGATTTAGAAGCAATCCCTGTCTCTTATCCATCATCATGTTTTTCTAATTAAAGACCAAGCTCGGTAAATAGTTTTTAAATTGCTGTATTTCCAAAGCATGAAAAACACATGCTAGGAGTCAGACTTGCAGTGTCCCAAAGCCCCCCATTCCAGTATGCAGTCATGCTGTCAGGTCTTGGAGCTGGGGGTGACGAGTTTATCTGGAATGATCAGCAAAGACTTATAAAGCTGTGGGATTTGCTTAGCCTTCTCCCCTCTGCTGTTACTCTCAGAACTAGGAAATTGGGGATCACATTAAAGTCCTAATTGGTTTCGCTCCAGCAATAGTTTGGTGGCTGCTAAATAATTTATTGTGTGAGAGTTTGGCCACCAGTCGAGAAGTAGATTAGCTTGGCAGACAATTTATGTAAAATTGTACTATGTATTCATCCCATAAGTCCTGTTTACAAGAGAACTCCAGGTGAGGCACAGGAGAAGAGTGCAGCTTGTTTTCCATAACAGTCAGCTCAGGGCATGGCCCTCCAGCATGGCAGGGGAGGAGGAAGAGAGGAAAACTTGGGGTTCAGCTGAGCACCTCTCACTGTCTCTTTGAGGGACTCTGTCTGAACGGTGGCAGGATTTTTCTCCATCTTCCCCTACCAAAAGGTTTTGGAAACAGTTGGCCTATCAAGTCATAAGAGCAGGTTTTTCAGTTTGACAGTTATTTGGAAATTTAAAATGAATATTGTAAATTTAAGATGAAGGTGGAGGAGGGGGAGCTGTCTGGAGAGAGAATGTGTCTGTGCTGGGTTGGCCAAGTGGGGAGTCCCCTCTGGTGGTTAGATTTCTCTTCCTGTATGGTAGAGGAAGGCCAAATTGGAATGTGCTCTTATCTGGCTGGCTTCCTGTAGCCCTGCAGAACCTAGGTTTGTTCTTGCCAGTAGCACTGTGATTCCAGTACCCTGAGAGATCTCTAGCACTAACAATCATTTCTCAAATTAGATTTGTTATCCCAGGCTTTTTTCTGTTGCATCTGGTGGACCTAGTAATGTTTGATTCTTGTGTTGTTTTTTCTGAAAAATAAGCTCAGGGTGTCTTGGGGCTCTCACTTTAGCTTTAGTTATAAGCAATGTAGCTTATTTAAGCTATTCTCTTCACCTTCAACATTATTTGCATGGGAGGTGTATATATTAAACAGGATATTGCAAACTGAGATAAAGTATCGTATTCCTAGCGTGCCTCTGGGCTCGGAGTATAGTTTGAAAGAGACCATATAAGGACTAAATCATGGCTGTAATGTTGTTTTTCATTTATCACTGACAGTTAAATAACTAACTTCATGTTCAGGAGCTGCTTTCAGCTAAGTGGAAACAATATTGTTACTGCAGTGCCCAGCAGCACCTTTTTTATGTCAGCTTCTGCTTTCATTGTAAATTTGAACTCTTAAAGCTCAATATTGTGACCCTTTTAATTTTCAGCTGCTAAAATGTACCGTACATTCTAACTAAAGGGAGAATTCAAGGGGGAATTTGCACTACCGCTTAGGAGTTTGTTCTTTCAGATATTTCTAAGTGCTGAGTGTATAGAAATTGAAGTGGTTGCAGTGCTCCCTTAGCAATACTTCTGTAATTTTCATCTACTCCTCCAGCAACTTCCTGAGATGTGATAAAATCCATTAAGTCCTGTTTCTGACCCAAGGCCAAATACAATAATATGATTTTGTTGTTAAAGTTTTTGTTGATAATAATTTTGTAGTAGCTTATTCCTGCTACAGAGTCAACAAAAGCTCATTTTTGGGCATGTTTCCACTGGATGTTTCATACGATACTGTCATGAATTGATGTTAACCAGATTTTAGGGAGGAATTGGAGAAATTTCAATTTGCCAATAAAATCAATCTGAACTTCTTTGTACCAAGTTTGTGCCTGGGGCTGCCACATGCTCTTCTGACATGCAGAATAACACATTCAGCATGTGCCACCCTGAACTTGCCAGTTTTAGCATTGAGATAATGGCAGGTTCAGACAGCAGGTAACCCCTTTTGTACAGACAAATTGGGTAGGTATTGAAGCAAACTGATCATTGTTTAGCCAGCATATTTTTATTTGATGAGATTTTGGAAAAGACTAATTTATCAAGGAATTTTGCCTGTTCTGTGCATCTTCCTTGGTTTTAAATGCAGCCATCTCTGGGGTGAACTACAATACTTATTTCACAGAACACAGTACTACATGACACTTTAAGCAGGAAAGGGAGAGGGACACAATATTCAGTGGCAGGCAAAATAGAAACAAATGTCAGAATTTGCTTCAAACAGTAGATCCATCTACTGTGCATCTTCATCCAAGTTGGATGAAAGCCATGCCTCCATTTCCCTTTTTGGACTTAAAGCTGCTCTTTAGAACACAGTCCACGTTAACAAGAAACTGATTTTAAAGCAACAAGTTCTAGCTGGCAAGTCTTCCCAGCGTTTTATATTTCTCTTGCTGTCCTTCTCCATGCTTTGTATTTAGAGTCCTTAACCAGTGAGTTCTTGTTGGTTTCAGACACTGATCACCCCAACTTTTCAAATCTGGTTGCTTAAGTTTACATTTCATACTGTGCTAGAAAACTGTATTGTTTTCAGGAAACTGCACATACATGCTCTTATTCACAGCTGTGCTGGCTAGGAATTATTAATAACTGGGTACTTGCAAGCCCAGCTTCAGGTCACAAGTCTCAATATAAGCACCTGCCTCTTGTTTGGACCTGGATACATGCCTGATGGTGCATCTCCACCTCAAAGCTTTCTGCATGTTTGGGCATGTGTGCAAATTTGTATACCCACACTTAGAGCTCATGTCTGGGGGTAGATTCACCCCAAGTTTGCAAGTTTGAGGGTGTGCATACATACCTATATTGAGCTGTGATCCATCCTGTTAGGGGGTGTGGATGTATTGCAATTCGGGTAATTGGGTATAGGCATAGAGACTCCTGCACTTGTATTCCCACAGTCTCCTGCCCTTGTCTTCTGGCCCTTCTGTGTACTACAGTGTTGCATAACCTCTCAGCCTCTTATTCATTCCTTGGAAGTTGTATGGCACTTTAAGTAACAATACTTGGCATTTAACCTATCATTTACCACATGAACCAGTCCAGATTGACTGCACAGCTAATCCCTACTCTGCCAACTGGAGGATGACCATCCCTGTGCAGCTAGCTGGCCAGAGAAACATGCAAGGAGGAAATAGTTCCACAACTGTGACTTTTTAACTAGTGTTCCAGGAATAGGCACCGATATACTGCGATCGCAGAGAAGCTACTGAATTTGGGCAGTGCACCTGCTTTGTGCCTCTGCTTCTCTGATGGAGCTTAGCAACTGTCTGTCAGAGGCCTGAGCACAGAGCTCAGTGCCTCCTAGGAACCCATTTTTCTACCAGGAGACCTGAGAGAGAGAGAGCGCGTGCGAGAGCGAGCAGCCTGAAGGACGTGTCTCCTCAGCAATATCTTGTAAAACAATCCCTTGTTAATTGAGAGCAATCGGCCAAGCCAGCCATTCCAGGTGACATCCTGAAAGAGTTGCTGAAGGAACCTTTTTGAGAATGAAGCCATGGATGGCCTTAGAGAGAGAGAGAGGAATTCATTGAGAGGGAACAGCCCCTTAGCCTGGTAAGTACAGCCTTCTTTGTTATTACTGCATTGGAAATAATGGTGCTAAAGAGGGAGGGATTTCCTGACTTATGGCCAGTACAACCCCTGTAATGGAGGACATTGCATTCTTCTGAGCAGGTACTACTTTAGAGCATGTTCCACTTTTCTTCTCTTCAGATGAGAAGGGAAGGTGGAATGAATTTCCACCACAGTTTGTTTTCCTTCTTTTCTCTACTCTGCCTTCCATGGCCAGGTGATCCTCAACCCTTTGCATCCAAAGATGGCTAGTTAGCAAGGGGAAAAAGCTTAATCATCCAAGCACTGATGGTTACATAGTGCTGCCTTTGCCATTTTAAATCCAATGTAGGGTCAATGGCTATTCAAATAATTATTTATTTGCACAAATAGACTTTTTGGTGGATTTGTTGCACTCATGCTGCTATTCATTTGCATCTTTTGGCAAAAAGATTTGACAGTGGATTTCATCATTGTCAGCTTTCCTAGTCTGCTTAACCTGATATAATTCTTACATTTACAGGGGGCATTTCCATGAGATATTTACTGCAGAGTAGACTAATTAGCTCCACGGTAAACATCTTGTGTCTACTTGTCTGGCTGTATTGGTCTGCAGGAAATTAATAAACTCCACAGCAGGGTACTACTTGTAAATACAAGTACTTTCTAGCTGTGGAGTTTTTTGCTCCACAACAATGTATGTGTAGATGCTGATGTGGGTGGCTGGGTCATGAGGGTGCTCCAGTGCAGGGGATGCCTGCTAGCTAGTCCTGCACTGAACACCCTCATGGCCCAGCCAGCTCTTCCACAGCATGTTGAGCCAGGTCAAAGCAACCCAGGGCTGGCAGGTTCACTCCCTGGACTCCCTGCCAGCAGGGACTGCCCCAACCTGGCTCAGTGTGTTGTGTTCCCAGCTTCACGTTCAAATAGCATGCCTGGGCGCAATAAACTTTGGTACATATTGTGCCAGAGTTTATTGCTGTGTGCTAATAACATGTAGATTTGGGATGGGCAAAGTACGGCCTGCAGGCCAAATATGGCCCACCAAGCCATTCTATCCAGCCTGCAGCAGCCCTTAAAGAATTTAGAAAATTAATATTTATCTGCCTCTGGCTCCTGTCATCTATGGAGCCGGGGGCAGTAGGACCCAAGGGAAGCTCCGGCAGGCTCCTGCAACAGCGGGGCCTGCCTGGCCTGGGACCGTGGGGCGTGGGGCTGTTCGTGGCTGCACTGGTATGGGAAATCCAGGTAAGAAGGCAGGGAGGGAGGCAGGGAAGGACTGTGGAAGGACTTCCTTGGGTCGGGCCTGCACCAATGTCCTGGGGCCAGTGCCAACAGGGACCAGAGTGGGGTGGTAGGAGAGCGGGGTGTGTGCTGGCAGGGGTCTGTGGAGTTGAGCTAGGTTGCACCAGCAGGGAGAGGGGGGAGCTGACCCAGCTCCATAGTGTCCCTATCAGCCTGGACCCCACACTCATGCCACCCTGCTCTGAGCCCTGCTGGTGCTGGCCCCAGGTCACTAACATGGGCCCCGGATTCCCACCCAGCTGCGGCTGGCTCCTGCGTGCTCGCTCACTCCCAGTGCCCCCACCCCAGCCCCGCGGTACATGTGGGGATGAGCTCGCAGTCCTGACCCCACACGCCCCGCGCTTGCCCGTCTGGACTGAGCAGCGGCGCCAGGGATAGTGCTCGCCGCAGGGCAAAAGCCCCCACCCCGCCAGTGCTCCCTGCTGCAGCTGCTTGCAGCCCGCATGGGGCTGTCTTGCCTCTCCACTGCATCACCGCCGCCCCAGCGGTGCCAACAGAGAGCAGGCACAGGCAGCCCCACGCGGGATCCGAGTGGCTACAGCACAGGGCACCGGCCACAGGAAGGGGAAGTGGCTGCTCTTCTCCCGCAGTGAGCATCATCGCCACCGCTGCTGGTAGCATGTGCCCCACACCAGCTCCAGGTCACCCGTTGAGGCTGAACTATGGCAGCAGCAGATGGGCACAAACTGCTGCTCAGCGTGGAGGAAAGCACCCTGTCCCTCTCTGCCACCAGGCAGTGTTTGCCGCGGCCGGCGGGCCCGGTCCTACACGCGCACACGC